TCATTATTCATCTATGAATTGGAAAATTAAAACTTTGAAAACAACACATTTTTGTATTGAGTTATCATTACAACTATCCGTAGATATGATGAGAGAGAGAGAGAGAGAGAGAGAGAGAGAGAGAAAATGTTGTGTAAGTTCTATGAGTTATACGATCGCTGGTCTCCTGTGAAACATTTCATTAGTAGTTATAATTAATAGCATTAATATCAGCAATCATTTAGTGTTAAAGTTGTACACAAAAGTAAAAGAGAGCACAAAATTGTTTGCAGTCTTTCCGGTTGGATGTGTTGGATGTGATGCACGCAAGAGAGCGTGTGTTAGATGTGCTGTATTAGTGTTTGTATGTTATACTATGTTAGCCAAGATTATGCTATATTTACACAGAGAGCTGTGATGCCGGTGCTGACGACCAAATAAGTCCATTTGAGACGCGGGTCAATACAAACATTGATAAAATGTATGTAATTTCCGGTACAATAGTAGTGACAGTTTGGCCAATAATGGCTATCGGTATGAGTCGAGTCAGGTTTACGACTACACGACTGGCCATTCCCTATGAGGTCTGGTATGTGTTATAGTAGTTGTCGTTTAACTCGACAGCGGAAATAAGGACGTTATCCACGCCTGACATTAGACATCAATAAATGGTAGAACTGACCATTAGTTTAATAGAAAGTCCCACTAGTGATGAATTTGTTGGGATAAAGCATACCGTAATAAACAGTGAAAGCAATGGCAAACTTTCAAACTTTTACGTCTCGGTGTCTCTCAAACCACTCTCACAGGGCTTTACTGAAAGCTCAGATGGCTTTGAGTCGTACGGCTTTATTGGCCATAAAAGTTGTTAAATCAAAGCAAACATTTGATCACAAATTAAAACTCAAACAAACGCTCGTTTCAAATGAATCACTCCTTCTTTAATATGATGTCAGGCTTTAAATCATTAATTCTTATTCAGACAACCAGTGCCTTAATGGCCAAATAGAGTGAGCACCGACTTCGTCCCTCTAAGTGTCTAATTATTATTTTTTAATTAGAAGTCTAAATGTTTTAGAAAAATGTTGACATTCGATGACTTTAAATATGAATTTTTAAAGTTTTGTTAAAAATGCCGACTCTTTAGAGGCTAAGAGTGGTATTGCTATTCACTAACAAAAGAGGCGGCAAGTGATCAGTAGTGCTATTCTTGGGCTTCATTTCATTTCAAAGGATCCCCGACTTTACCGCCTCTTCACAAGACTTATGAGAAGACCTTTTGGTTATATTAACCTTAAGTGAGAGGTCGTGAATGAGTAACAAATTGATGAAGACTTCACATGCGGTCACCATATGAGCGGTTATGATACAGTACTGTGGCTCTGGTAGGGTATGGTATGGTATGGTACCAACACTCACTCCAACCACACTCAGTCCCACTCCTCTCCACTTCTCCACTCCTGTCCTCTTCTAAACTCACTATCAGTTTCTTTAGACATAGAAATCAAATATCGATATGTTTTAAAAGAAGTCTTTTTATGACAATCTGTTGAGACAGAGAGACAGTTGAGTGAAACAGTGAAACAGTTTGACTGAACGGACCAGAGATGTACGCCAACAGACATTGGAGACACTGTCGATGCCATTGATGCCATCGATGCCAACCATAAGCCAAGCGTTGAGCCAACGACTGGCGCCCATCGCTTGACTGTCACACGCTTTTGGTGAACGGCTATAACGAGATAGTCTTCAAAACCGATTGATATGCTCTACACATGACGTGATTTGCAAATTAATTTCCTTCCCATTCCTCTGCACTCAAAGCAATGCCGCACACAATATAACAGCTCTGGATTGGGACTGGGATTCAGTTGAGACAACAAAGCGTTTCTTTCTTTATTATCGCTAATGAATATGAGATCGCTTTGACTCCGAGTGAATACAACGCCAATTGAAATATGCTTTCCTTTAAACTAGATTTGAGTTTACAATTGCTTTGGACTGAAAACTTCAAGTCGACTCACATTTTCACTTATTTTTATGTTCTCTCGTTTGGGGAGAAGTGAGGGAAAGGGAGAGAGACTCCGGAGCTATCATTCTTAGGAGTTATTTATGGTTACAATTCTTATTCTCCAATCTCTGCCATGAATACAGAATATTGTGTTCTGGACTCGATTTAGTGATTTAGACCCAAAAGGCCATCAAAAGTGAACAATAATAGAGAGGCAAACGAGACTTGAGTTGAATTTCTCAATTGTAATCATGAGTTGATCTGAGGTGTAAAGTTAGGCACAGGAGGACAGGCACAGGAAGCTAGAATGTGGCTAAAATAGGCATCAAGTGATGGATGATGGCTAGTGTGCGCCCTATGTGTCCGACCAATTGTGCTCAAGTGTGTTCGTACACTTCACGGCTCATTAAGTCGTTAATAACGGATAAGAGAGACGTTTCAAAGAAGTCAACGAATACTACATTTTAATAGTCTGTGCCTTCGCTCCAAAGGATTGTCATGAAACGCGAGATTAACACTCCGGGCCATTGCTATGTATAGTACACTACCCTACAGACAGTACCGGTGCGGGCATTGGCAACAGTGAAGGTATTCTACATGAGTGGCGGTAGTGAATGACACACTCGTATTGTGTCAGTCCATTAAAAGTTTATGAAGTCTTTCCATAACAATAAGAGAGCCTTTGCTTTGAGTCGAGAAAAGAGGCGGATTTCGGCCCAATACTCAAACCATAGCCTCAAAAGACTTCATATGATTTTTTGTGTTCACACAATAGACCCAATTTGTGAGTCTTTCAAATGACTTCATCGAACATACAATCAGTTAAAGTCAGACATAAATCTTAGTCGAAGTGAAAGTCAATTCTCCGATTGAGAACTCAATGCGATTAACCATTTAATGAAATAAAACTCTACAATAGATTTCATTTTTCCAACTCATTTTACAAAAGGTATTAATTTATCAAAAGATAACACAAATTATTAATTTGTGTCATTTATTATGATTTTGAGGACAGTTTTCTATAAAATAGTTTTGTAAGAATTTTTAAATATAATCAATTGAAATATTATTTAAATAAAAAAATAGTTTGCTTTTTGTGGACTAAACTCAAGGCCTATTTAAAGCTATGGGAAAATAATTGTTATCTTAAAACTTGTATTTATTGTGATATATTTACTACGGGTAAATAGTTTAGCATAAATTGTACACTATTATACTGTACTACTATACATACGCGAGTATCTACTGTACATATAAAGGACTTCCTATGGAGTACACAATTGCAAACATTATTCTTTTGATAAGTTTTCAATAAATATTGTAAATATAAATATAATTTCAGTTATTTGAATGAAAATCCAAATATAAACACAGTATTCAGTTGTTAACACTTTTTCACGTTTATATCAATATTAAAAAATTGTGTTCAATTGTAATAATAATTGTGAAAATTTAAAATCAAATTATTATTCAAACTGTGTTGATAGACAGCATCTGTGTTGACATAAATAAATAAAAATTACCAGAAAATTATTTGTTTATTATTTATATTTTATTTTTTGAAAATAATATTAAATGCAAAGTTTATTTGAATTTAATGTATATAAATATTTGACAATCTCTTACTAATAGCATATAAATGATAATAAAAGGCAACATTTTAAACATATAATAGTTTATTGAATAGAATGAACACATAATTGCATAGAATTTGCGAAACGAAAAAATATTCATTAAATGTTTGAATGGTTTGTAATAAAGTATTGGTTAGAAGTGATTGTTATTCAATCAAAAGGTATGACTTAATGAGAACACAAATGAATTTCGCTAATCGACTGTTTGTGTGAAGCAATTCATACACTCATTCACTCAGTCAGTCATTTATACCATTTTCTGTGATCTAACCATTATTTTCTTATTTAATGTCTTATTCTGTTGTAATTATAAATGAATTTATGATTTATATAATAAAGCCCACATACAGTACAGTACATGAAGTCTATGTTGTATTCATGAAATCATATCCGATTGTTAGCGAAACGAAGTGTTGCTGTTTTGTGCATAACTTTATTTTTAATTTCGTTAACCAAAGCAAACACATGAGATGATAGAGGAGACGAGTAATCATTCTTCTGGTAGTTTATCTCCAATTTTCGGATCGCAAACATCGCTCACAAGTCTTGTTCCGTATTTTCAACAGTCAAGAGATAATTACCTGCGAAGGCCACCACCCATTAGGTCCACCCATTTGGCGGCGACTCAAACCCCAGTCCAGCCTTTCGATCGATGCGTTCAGCGCTGACACTATAAACTGGTTGGTCTTCACTGAGCCGTAAACTCAGTCAAAGTAAACACCCATTTGTTAAGCATATGGGATGAGCTTAAAAAATATTTATGAATCAGTTTACATATTAGCGATGTCTTAGCGCTAATATGGGATTGCAATCAAAGCGATACCTAACATAACATACCATTTGAAAGGCAGTCCTCTTGAAAGGCATTTTGAAAGTTGTGACCAAAGCTCTAAAAGAGTTGCCGTTTCTTGAGTCACTAATTCAGTGCTCAATTCAGTCCATTTAAATCCGTGTTAAGACTTGTTTGGATCGAATCCAATCTCATTAAAACATTCAAACATTGAAAGCCGACAATAATTTAGACTTTAAAGCAAACGCTTTCTAATCTGAAGTGAAGTTAAATTATTTGTTGTTTCAAACCTACACTTCAGTGAAATTCAAGAATTTCGAAGAGTTTGCGCTTTTATTGTTAAAAACAATAGCCATCTCTATGTTAAAGCCTTACTAAACATCTAATTCTGTGAATCACATCAAAAGTCATTGAATTAAACTCTCTTCGTATTCAACAATACGTCGACTCTTATTGTGTAACCATTTGTTTGAAAGACATTTAAACTGATTGTAGATTTGCATTGAATGCGTCTAAATGTATCTCATGTTGAACACTAGCAACAAATATAGCGGACTTTGACTCGTAGTAGCCATACCTTACAGCAATGCCACAGTCATCCAGCAGATCATCACCACATTCAGTGCACTCGCCGGCAGAGAGCGAACCCTTTTCGCCGCCCGAAAGCAATCACAGCCTTCATAGCAATCAAAGCGCTGTAAGCGCTGAAAACGGACTCAATTCTGGTTCAGTGTCTGTATTGACACACATGAGGAGCCATTCGCCGGCATCCCTCTCCAGAAATCATATCAAGTCTGAAATGTTAAGTCGCGACACATCGACGCCCTCATCCATTATAGATCCCGGAGACGAGAGAGACAATTGTTCTTCGGATGAAGAGTACTTCAAACCATATAAGAGACTCCGAATGCAAGAGTCAAACGAAGACAATGAAGAGAAGGAGTCCAACGAATCGTTGCCTTTAAGGCCATTGGCTTTGGAGAGCCGACAGTTGGCCTCACCGTCTAATGAGGCCAATGAGGCCAATGAGAGCGACAAACCTCTGACTTCTTTCCTAATTAAGGATATATTGTCTCATAAGCCAAAGATCTGTACAAATGTGATGAATAGTGAGGGCCGAGGAATCGTGAGGCCCTGGGATTTGGATACTTCACAGCATAACACTCTTCACCACAACCATAGCCATCACAACCATAACAACCATCACATCAACACTTTTGGCCGCATTTCTCACAACCGAAGGCCGCGTTCTGCTGACGACGACTCGCGGTCCGAGAGGTCTGAAAGCGATTCCTCCGAAAGTCCGACGAGTAATGGGGGACCCGTTGGAGGGGTCCTCACCTCACCATTGGATGCATTGTTTCAAATGACAACCAAAGCCTTCGATGGCATCGACGGAAGTGAGAAGTCTTTGGGTAAGCCTTTCATTGCATTCGTTTGGCACGTTTGGGGGTCTGTCCTGTGATTCAAATCGCATCCAAATTACAGTCCAATCAATTAAAGCTCAATCTTTTCTAACAAAACCATTCATTCATTCAATTATTGTTTGAATTCTTTTGTAAATTGAAATTAAATGCGATTTCAATGATTCACTACAGAATTGATTGCAATTATCATTGATTTTAAAGTCTTCAAAATTGTTTAGTCATTCGTAATATCAAATCAAACTGACATCAGAAATGATTGAAGGCCTCAATGCGTGAGTTGTAAAACAAAACATCACATTATTATCATTGATGTTAGCATTCATTTGTCTGCATCCGAGCCAAGCATCTGCTTCTCCCTCTTATTTCTGGTTTTGTCGCCCGTTTTCTACACTCTTTTCGCATAGGGTTTGTGCCATTTCTCGAGAGGAATCTCCTATTTGTATATCATTTGCATACAATTATTCAATTACTATATGATTAGAGTTATATTCAGTTTATATCATAGTATATATCATATTAATCGATGCCATCATATAATAGCAAAAATGGATCAAATAGTGAGCAAATGTTGATCTGAAGGGCGTATACGAGTGTCGATCTCCAAAGAATACCACAAACTGTTTGCACTCCAACTCTACAGTCGTTTTAGTACTCAAATACTGTATATTACTGTTATATGTGTTATCAGTTTTGTGCAAATTATTCAAAATAGATTCAAATCGACTCTATTATTGAAAATATTTGAGTTTTGAGCGTAAAAATCATTTTTGCAGTGATTGCTAAACATATGCAGCTCTCACTTCTCTTATTATGAAATTCTGAGACTTTTTGTATAAACAGATCTGTGTTTCGCTGTTGTGTTAGTTGTGGGCAATACAGTACAGTATAATAAGTGGCGATTTATATAAATAGTGGGAACTATTTAATTATATTTGAATGGAGTGCCAGTGTTTGGTGTCTCCCAAAGAGTCTGTTTGTTTTGATCATAGCTGGAGATGAAATGGCAGTAAATCTTAGATCCAAACTATTACTAAATACAAAAAGTTTACAAATTATATGCGACTAACTATGACTTAAACACAGGATATATATTAAACATCGCTGAAAACTCTTCAGTAAATACTTTCTACAAGTGATTTAAGACTTAAATGATTATAAGTATGAGTCTAAGGGCACCAGAATTAGTCTAAAGCAGGGTATGAGCCATATATCTAATGGGAGTGTAGTTGTTGTTGGCATTCAAACAACACGTTTGCTATAAATTGTCGAATTGTCACAACACGAAGACAACACTCTCTTGTACTCAATTGTAACTGTCATCCGATACCACACTTTCCCCCTATGTTTGCTTAACACGAGCTGCGCCTCACAAACCCCCACATCCAAGCCCTGCACCAAAGTCTACACCAAATTGTGCACATCTTTCTCCTCCTCATCGTCTCGCAGACACCAAACCTATTGAAGTAGTGCTCCATTGCCTCCATTGCTTCCTTTCCTCCAATTCCTCATCGTTTCTAATTTATTCAATTTATTGCTCTTTCCATCAAATTTTGCCTCAAATTAGAAACACATGCAAAGCTTACTTTGTTTCACTTTTATTGCCTGTCATTGGGTGGCCTTTGGAGCTATAAATGGCAAAGAAAGGCCACCAAAAGTGATGCTTATCTAAAGGTTTCAAATGACCGGTTGTGGACATAAATCCCACACCAAAGTCAAACACTGTCTCTATTTAAATGCATTGATATATTCATTTATACGGAAAATGGTTAGCTATTTATGATTTAAGTGGTGTGTGAATGGTATTGGCAGGGAATGGTAGGGAATGGTGTGGAATCTGATTGTGACCTAATGTGTGATGACTCTGTGATATAAACAATTTGTGACATTTGACACTTAAGTGCACCTCTTATTCACTTTTAACTAACTGTGCTTTTATCGAGCACTCAATAACTTTATTGCACTTAACATAGACTTTCATTAATCACTTGTGAGCCACAGATGTAAATGAAATTATCGTGCGATAAGCAGCTCATTGAGCGATCGGCCCTCCATTGCATACATATTGCCAGAGTTGGCGCACAGACAGTGAGTGTATGGAATGGTATGGTATGGTATGGATGGCTATACCTATAGGCGAAATGCAGTTGCAATCGTGCAATGAGAGCATCACTATATCTATGAGTTGCCGCAACTAATCGACAATCATATCATAATATGAGAATTAGTTGCCTAATAGGCCAGCATATGACGGGCCATACCATCCAACAGCCATAGTATCGATGCCTTTGATGTGTTACCGCTATATCGTGACCGACCAGCTCTCAGACTCAGGTTACAGGACTCCCAGAGTTGCACTACTCGTCCCTCTGTTTGCAAACACAGCACTGATAGCTGATGGAGGAGGGGGTTAGACATGAGCCAAATGAAGTAAATGAAGTCTTCTAAATATTATTACTTAGAGCTACACCTGTTTATTAACTGAGAAGCCTTAGAGTACATACCTTACACTTTGTGAACCCATTTATCTATAAATTGTAAATAAAAAACACCGAGAAGTCAGTTATGGGGCGATAGAGCGCTGTTAGGCTTAGGCCACGAACCGCTCAACAAATGTAATATTTCACACAAACGATACCCATCTGATTGTGGGCTCACATCTGATACTAGTATTAGACAAGAGATGAAGATTAAAGAGCTTGTGATCGCAATCAACACAATGAACAATATCTTCACATCTCTTACAGAGTGTATGGATATAAATGATGAAAGCGATAGCCGTATCACTAAATGAGATCCCATTTGAAGTAATTTTGTTTCTCTCAAAATTTCGATTAAAAGATAGAATAAATCTTTTGTAGATATCATCGAAATTGTGGTAAAAATATTTTATCGGTTTATCACTACTATTAAGTATTTTGAAAATAGCGATCTTATGAATGAAATATTTTATTTTCTACGGCGCCGGACATCCAATAATAGCTCAACACTCTCTTCGGAGGAAATATCTCAAAGTTTATAACTTTTCAATAAGTGGTTCACAATACAGTTAACTATAAGCCTCGATTCACAAATTACAAACATTTTTTATAAATATTTTACTTAAATAGTAAGATAGTAAGTAAGCGAGTGAACGAGAGAGAGAGAGAGAGAGAGAGAAAGAGAGAGAGAGAGAGAGAGAGTTGGTGAACAAGGCTTGGCATTTATTGGAGGTGGTGTGTCTATGGTGTCTATGTCTGTGCATTGCTTGGGCAGAGTCCGTATGTTTGGGCTGAAGTCCATTATATGGAGTCGTAGTAATAATTCGCACCTCCGGTCGCTTTTAATTATACGCCGGCAAAACAGGATCAATAGTCACGCGGCGGCATCTCTTTGAGGGCCCATTTTTGGTACAAATTCTGGCATCTCTTTAGTGGTGCTATGGCTGGGCTTCGGGCTATCAATACATCTCACTTCTAACGATGCTGTCTATTGGCGTTGTGGGTGATAGTGAGCAACACTACCACCGCTACCCAAACTACCCAATACACTATCACTCGTCAGTATATATGTTGCCTTCAATTGACTTTTACTACATTCAGGATTTACTCCACATTTTAGCCAAAATGTCATTTGAATGGTGCGAACGGCGGCTCAACAGCCAAATCAAGACTTACTTATTGTTCTCATGTTATTATGTTATGGAGTAGTAGTTTGGCCTCAAGTGAGCCTCAACTCAAGTACTTGTTGTCCGCATACCATTCAAATGACAATTTCGGCACCTCTTAGACCTAACTGAGGGGTACTTTACCCACAATAATAGCCTTGAGAACCCATGTATGTAAGGCCATGTATATAAGTACCCAGGCTTTATATAAGTACTATCTATGTATTATTGATACGGTTAGCATTTCTCAAATAATAATTATTCAATAATGCATTTCAAGAAATATTTCAGAAAAGCGTTTACAATGTAAGCCTTCAGAGCCCTCGCAGTCTATTCTTATCATACAATAAACAATCGGAATATAATGGAAATAATCATAATAGAAAGTTCATTTCATTTACATGTCTTTCAATTTTGATTATTTGAATCAATTTTTTAGATATGATAAATTAGCAAATGATTTATACATCGCATTATATTTTGTTATAAATTTAATTTAAATCAATGACAATATATTAACTTTTGTTAAATTTCTTGAAAGTATTTAAGTTAAAGAATCTAAAGAATTTTGCTTTCATTTAAAATGAATAATTATTTGATGAAATTTTTCCATTGCTAATACTAAATCATTTGTAGAAAATTTATTTTATAATAAAAAGTATTGTTTTGATTTTAATTTTCATTCAAACTGATTATACAATTTAAATATTTGGTGCTTTATAAATTTATATACGGTACTTACACTCCATTATACATGTAGTACTGGTTACTGTAGTCGTGTTTGCAAATGAAAAATAAAATGCAAAATACAAATGATTAAGTGTGTTGAGTATAAAAGTGATAAATAATTTATTTGAATGAACGGAGTCTTAAATGCAATAACTTTTAGCTTTTGAATGGAAAAGTATTTTCGCAGAGATTATACAG